AACCTCTAATTATATAGTAAAGTTGAAGAATGAACTCATGCATTTCACACAAATTTCAAACTTCTGACACGTTTTGCTTACACATATGATATATAGTGTATGGAACTTCTCAGTTTCTTCTCTATATATGAGAACCATCATATGTACAAAACCGAATTGTTTTCATGTACATCATCATTATAAAAAAATCAAAGTTTTACCGGATTCAACAAACTACACATTGCATAAAGATGATATTATGATTACAATAAGATCCGCAGGATATTCACCTAACATATACAATATGACTTTATGAAGATTTTAGAAAGATTAATCTCTCTAGAGCATAATGACAGATTGTGATAAATATGTCAGAAAAGGAAACAAAGAGGACAAAGTAGTCGGAGAGACATAAAAAACAAAAAAAGCCGAGAGTAACAAATTAGAAAAGTTTGTTTTGGGTTTACGTAATACATTTACGAATTTTTCTTTTATAAATATATATTCTTGTTTTATTATATGTTTGTTAGTGAGGAGGAGATTGTGAGGAGAGGATTGAGACACGACTGTAGAAAAGAAGACAGACAAATTGAAGACAGATCTTATCTCTATCCCTCCCACGACTCTTTCTTTGGAAACACAAAGCTACACATATGTCTTTCTCTTTTATAAATATATATAAAAATCATTTCACATACTAGTAGTATAAAATAGTCAGAGAGCCAAAACAATTTACGAAATTTTATGAAACAATACGTAAACATTAATGAAGAAGATGTGTCATGCACGTGATGAAAAAAACTAAATAAGGAAAGGCTGTACATAGAAATCTTCTTGGTTAAGAGACAAAAGATCTTTCCTAGGCTTTGGTCCATGTATCTGCCTTTCTTCTCATCACTCTTCTTTTCTTATATATAAAATCCAAGAATATCATCTGCATTATCATCAACGATAAAATAGCTAGGCTACCTTACTATTTCTGGAACTATACAATATTTTCTCATGTATGTGAAAAATATGGTGTTGTGTTACATTTCAACACAACAACAGCTAATTAAGTATAACTCTATACAATGAGTGAGTACCTGATGACACTGGTAGGGTCGCAAATTGAAGTGATAACGAATTCTATAAGATAAATGTTATTATTGTATGTTATGTCAGTTGATTTGTAAATACAAATGTCGATATGTCAAAAACTTAAACGTAATTAAGAATGAGATAATTGGATGATTTGTTGGGTGGTGAATGGAGAGCACGTGCTTTTGAGAAGTTAGTAGTAGTAAAGCTTTGTATAGAAAATGAAGGATAATGCGATAACATGTGCCTTATCCCGACAAAACACACCTCACATGTAAATATAGATATGCTACAATACATATAAATGTGAAACCATACACCCTAGCTAAGCTAAGCTATTATACCACTAGCTTGATAACAGTCATTATTAATGTATTATATAGTAAAATTCAACCACCTTTTCACATTATTTCTTTGTTTTGTAAGCAAACTTTCTACATTTATTATCATGAACATTAAATTAGTTTTCATATGTTTACTGAAATTTATGTGTCCCATTTTTTTATTAATCTTTTCTTCTTACATAGAATTATACATAGAAAATACTAGAAAGGCATATCTTACATATATATATTTTATACATACTTGATAATCATATATCAATTTTCTCTTTCTTTGAAACTTATACATATATAAATAGAGGCAGATACATGTAACCTCCCTAAAGGCTAAAGGAGCATTGGTATCTCAAAACATATTTGCCCTTTTCTCTTTCTTTCTCATCACTATTTGACATTTCTTTCTCTATCTCTCTATCTCTCTCTCTCTCTTTCAAATGTCAATAACCCAATACTCAAGCGATTTCCACTACCATTCTCTCATGTGGCAACAACAACAGCACCACCACCATCACCAAAACGACGTCGTGGAAGAGAAAGAAGCACTCTTCGAGAAACCTTTAACACCAAGCGACGTCGGAAAACTCAACCGCCTCGTCATCCCGAAGCAGCACGCCGAGAGATACTTCCCACTAGCTGCAGCCGCCGCAGACGCGGTGGAGAAAGGGCTTCTCCTCTGCTTCGAGGACGAGGAAGGGAAGCCTTGGAGATTCAGATACTCGTACTGGAACAGTAGCCAGAGTTACGTCTTGACCAAAGGCTGGAGCAGATACGTCAAGGAGAAACACCTTGACGCCGGAGACGTCGTTCTCTTCCATCGCCACCGTGCTGATGGTGGAAGATTCTTCATTGGCTGGAGAAGACGCGGTGACTCTTCTTCTTCCTCCGACTCTTATCGCCATCATCAATCCAATGCCTCGCTCCAATATCATCCTCATGCAGGTATATACCCTTCTCTTTATTTACATTCAAAGCTAAACTACTTAAACCTTTGTTTATCTTAGATTAGTAACTAATCCTTTTAATATTAATACATAGTAAATTTTATGAAAAATAGAAAAAAATAAGTCCATTTTGTCGCTTCTAATGTTTTGTCAACGTATAAATTCATTTTCCATGCACATATATATTAGGTAGAGCCGTAGAGATAATAACGGAGATACAATTCAATCGAATAATGCGATCTTTTTTTATATCACTTTATTCAAAGTTAAAAAAGTGAAAAATCTATTTCATGAACCATATGAAGTTACGTGACACAATTGTTCAAAATCTTTATCTTGTTTGGGAGCGTGAGACGAGACGCGCTTTAAAGTAGTGTATAGCTAGAGAAGTAAAAATAAAGAAATGATGGAAGCCCATAGAAACAGAATCGGATTCGTATTATTATCTGCTCTACGTGACATTTGTTGCGTATCCTTACTTACACCTACTGTTTCTCCAAGTTTTTTTTCACTATATACACACTTATAAATCCGTATATAGATACGCAACATTGTTTTCTTAATTGGTTTCTTGGACCGTAACTAAAACGGCATGCAGTCGCTCGCTATATGTTTTGTTCCACCAAGTTCAACACTCATCATCAAACATAGTTTAGAGTATATAATACTTGGTTTAATTGTTTCGTGTGATGGGGACATTTTGTAGTTCCAATGTAACTCGCATATAATATAACTTGTCTAAACGTGGCGTCTCATTGTGGTAAAGCTTGTCATCTAGAGAGTACCAAAATTGGAAATTCTCATCCGATTTAAAGTCCTTGTTCTTTTGGGAAATTCTGACTAAAGTCTGGTAGTTATCCATTATATATTCCTCGATTTCAGTCTCTACATTGAAAGTTATGTATATATATATAATATTGATGTAATAATTACTTAAATTGAATTGGCACACAGGAGCTCAAGCAGTCGAGAGCCCGAGAGCGAATTCGAAGACATTGAGACTGTTCGGAGTGAACATGGAGTGCCAGCTAGACTCGGAATGGTCGGAGCCATCCACACCTGACGGTTCCAACACATGTACAACAAATCACGACCAGTTTCATTTCTACCCTCACCAACAACACTATCCTCCTCCGTACTACATGGTACGTTTCACTTCTTTTTTTTTTTCTAAATAGCCAAGTAAGTTAATGTGTGTTCGTTTTATTAATTAAAGTCATTAAATAGGGTAGTTAAAGATCTAAGTAAATGTCAATATCATTTTAACCGACATTTTACGTTTCTTATTCACGCGTTTTCAGATTCAAACAAAGTTACTTTATCTCTTTATACGTTCACGAACAAAGTCAAGAATTTGATCTATTTGTCTTTATAGTTTTATTTAGAAACTAAGGATAAGGAACAAATGGTCTTTTTTTGTTTATTGGGTTGGGGAGGACATATATAAGAGAGTGAAGATGCATGTACTGTTCATATACCACGCCGAGTGGTCTATCCAAAAATCTTATCACAAAAGAAGTGCGGTCCATTATTATTATTAAAGTTGTTACTACTATATACTATATAAGTGTTATTACTATTAGTGTTTGTTATTGTTAGGCACGTTTCTCATTTATATCATATGCTTTTTTGTCTTCAAGAGAACGATAATTTTGACAATTCCGTCAAACTTTTCTTCTATATACCTAATCCCTTATATACATGGATGAGCATAGTTGATGTGTCGTAGTTACGTGCGTACGTATACATATATATATATATATATATATATAGAATTATAGACACATATGTTTTGTTCCCACATCTCCATTATTGGATTTTTCGTACCGATCGCAATAAAATCTATTATTTGTCACGAAAAATATTTAGGTTTTGGACATATTCTTCACGAAGGGTTGTCCCAATTATAAGTACAAATAATCATTTTCGTTGGAAGATAATTTGAACATACCTAGCTAGTATTGTATATCTCTTTATCTTGACTGCATAATAAGTAAAGAAAATAAAAACTCTCTACTTGATGATACTGTTGCAAGGATTCTAAAAATCACATTCTTGTTTTTTTATTTTATTTTGCAGGACATAAGTTTCACAGGAGATGTGAACCGGACAAGAAGCCCACAAGGATAAGAAACCAAAAAATGAGCTTCACATCTGGTCCCTGCTGTCATGTTGTTTTTAGATGTTGATCCCTTAATTTTACAAAGCTTCTTCACTTTGTATTATTTAAAGTAAAATCATAATTGATTCTTCTTTAAATATCTCTCAAAATTTTCACTCTCTTCCTTTTTTTCTTCTTATGTATTAGATTCTTTAATATAGCTAACAAATTGTATAGAATTCAGAGTTCTGGTTATTATCTCTTCACTTTTGTTTTTACACATTTCCTTATTCCCCAATCCTATAGAGGCAAAAATACGAACATTATAGTAAAACACCAACCAAACCAAGCAAGACTTCAACTTATGAATGGGCCTTAATGGTTCAATTTGTTACTATTCTTGGCCACAAGTATTTCATTTAGAGACTGTGAGCTAAATGGCCCAATACTATAAAAATGATGGTAATATACTGTTTGGACACGACGTTACCTATATCCAATATCGAAATATACATATCAGTGTATCCAAACAAATCTCTAAATGGCATCGACAGAAACCTCAAACCTCTCTAGGGCTTTTAACTGTTTTAGGCAATACACTTCTGGGTTTTTGGTTTGTTTCTCAAGGAAAAATTTCAACTTTGTTTCTTTTCTTTCCGATGATATAAAGATATGTTATCAATCTTAATCTGATTCTTCTCATTGCGGGCTGATTCAAGGGTCGCTTATAGGGGTCTTTGTCTCTTCAAAATTTCATTCTTTTAATATCACTACGGTACGAAGGTTGTTGTAATGGCGAGTAGGAAGCTGATTCGAGATTTACTGATCACAAAGCAGCCTATTTTTCAGCAATTGGTGCACCAACGGGTTCGTGTTGCTGTGATTTGTCTCTAGTGGTTGTGATTACGAGCTTAGAAATGGGGATGATTGATATTTGTGTTTTGATTTTAGAGAGTGGGCGCAAGACTAGGGCTTCTTCAGGGAAATGGGTATGCGAGTCATCGCCTGTTTAGTGTTTTCAGTGAGTTCTCTAAGAAGATTAGAGGGGAAGCTGATAGGTAAATGCAAATGTTTGTTATGTATATGTGGCAGGTGAACCTGAAAGTTAAAGCCTTTTTGGTAATTCTTTTCTTTGTTTACATTGGTGTTTGTAGCAATCCTGAATTTCAAAAAACAGTGAAGGAGCTGAAGGAAAGAGCGCAAGAGTTGAAAAGTGTAAAAGAGGACCTGAAAGTTAGGTAATTTACATTTGTAAACTGCAAACTATACTTAAAGAGATATATAGTTTGTCAAAAGTAAGGTTATGGTATGAAATGGCAAATGCAGAACCAAACAAACGACTGAGCAGCTGTATAAGCAAGTTGATGGAGTCTGGACGGAGGCTGAATCTGTAGCCAAAAAGGTATGCTTTAGTCATTGGAACCATATCTGTTTCGGATTATCTATTTCAAGAATGCTTGAAAGGCAATATTGTTGTGAATATTTAATCTAAGCTGGAATTGTGTCTTAGTTGCTTGTTTTGCATGTTTTGATTTTCATGTGTGAAGTATAGTATGTGCTTTCTTCTCTTTCTGAAATCATTGGCTCTATGTATGTTCCTAGTTTGGTTACTAAATTGTTTTAGACTTTTAGTGAGCTATAGCTCAGGTTTTCTATGTAAGACTAGCCAATTTTACATTGTAAAAGGCTAAGAATCGTCGTTAACAAAACAGCTTTGACTGTGCAGGTCTCTTCAAGTGTAAAAGACAAGCTTTCAGCAGCCACGGAAGAGGTCTTGCTGGCGATTCACCTTTATTTTTGTTGTTGTTGTCCATTTAGTGGTTAATTCTGTTATTTTCATGTTAACTGGGTTATATGTATCTTTTGCTTTTAGGTCAAGGAGTCATTCAAGCTTGGAAAGGAGGAGAATGCAGAGTCTGCAAGTTCATCAGGCACAGGAACCACTGAAGGTGAAAAACAGCAGCAATCAGGTACGACGGAGGAGCAACATACATTTTTTGGAAAATTTAAATCCAGCATTTCTTCCCCAATGCTATCTGAGGCGCTTCACAAGCTGAAGGAAGCCAAACCCCTTGACTTTGCAAAGAAGGGGCTTGACATTGTAAAGGATGAATTGCATGGAAACCCATCGAAAAGGAAGCACCTGGAATATACCCCTCCGGCGCCATTTACAGGTGAGAGAAGTACGAGAACAGAGATGGTGATTACCTCAACAAAACAGTCCAAGTGGCAGAAAAAATGGGAATCGTTAAGACAAAAGGTTAATAGCCCTCTTTGTCTTGTCCACTCATGCCATGTTTTAAATGCCCTTGTTGAGTGTTTTCCTTAAATTTGGTTTAGATGCAAGGTTATCCTGTATTTAAACGTCTTAGTGGGATGAGTGAGCCTGTCGTCAACAAGAGCCAAGAGGTAATGAACGTCTTCTACTCTTCTCTTTACTCATTTTGTTCAAATACCTTATCTTGCATTACTGTCATTGCTAATACTGCGTGTTTTTGTAAATTGGCAATGCGTTTGGGCCGTGTAGATTGCAGAAGATGTGATGGAAAGATGGGAAACCAGTGATAATCCAATTGTTCACAAGATTCAGGAGTATGCTCTAATTTCTCCCTTACTATCTTCCTTAAAAATTAACTTACTTGCAGCAACTTAGAGATATGTGTATTCTTTTGTTTGGCAGCATAAATGAGAAGATCTTTGAAGAAACAGGTTCTGCAGCAACTTACAAAGAGATACGCCGTCGAGATCCGTAAGTTATGAGGCTGATTATTGATTTGAAGATTTGGCCCTGGTAATTATACTCATATCTCTTTTATGGTCAGATCATTCTCCTTGCCGGACTTTGCTGCAGAGGTTCAGGAAGCCATAAGACCAGTCTTGCATGCATATAGTAAGGTATATCTCAGGTTTTTGAATAGATCATCTCGTCCCATCTTCGTTTGTGTTGCCTCTAACTAATTCCCGTCTTTCTGCAGGGAGATACTGAGACCTTGAAGAAGTATTGCAGCAACGAATTGATTGAACGGTGCACGGCAGAGCACAGAGCTTTCCAGAGTCATGGTTATTTTTTCGATCACAAGGTAAGGTTTTTGTTTTTAGGATCATCCACGGGATCCTGGTTCTCATGAAATCATGTAAATCTCTGAGTAACTTGCTTCGTTTAGTCGTTGAGTAAAATCGATTTGGCTGTGATGTGCAGCTTCTGCATATATCTGAAGTTGAAATTCAAGAGACAAAGATGATGGGAACTTATCCAGTAATCCTCGTCAGGGTAATGATCTTCAATTTCCTTCTGAGGTCATCCTTTAACTAAGAATTGGGTCTGATAGATTTATAATCTTTAATGTCAGTTCCAAACGCAAGAAATCTACTGCGTTCGCGACAAGAATGGAAAAATCAAAGAAGGAGGCCAGGTAAAAGAAAAAAGAAAAGAAAAAGACGTTGTGAATCAGAATCATAAATCAAACCCAAAACATATGATAAATGTCAAGAGTCCATTAAGAATTTTGTTGTGTGGTTGATTCAGGACACGATACACATGGTGTTCTACGACTGGGCAATGAAACAAGTGGAGGCATCAGAGTTGGGGGAAGAAGCGATTTATCCCATTTGGAGGCTGAGCGAGATGAGGAGAGCGGGTATTCAAGCTCTAATTTAAATCTTCACCATCTTTTTAACTTATAAGAAGCTAAAGCCTCTCTTTTTGCAATGTACCCTCATTTACTCAAATCTTGTCTACTCTTTGAAATTTTTTTTTTAATTTTTTTTTTCTTCTTCTCACGGGAAGGAGTGGCTTCCCATGTTTCCGGGGAATAAGTTTTGACAAAATATATAAATAGAGATCCCAAGTCATTTTCAAGTTTAACGAAGTTTCTTGCTTTGTTTGTGTCCTAAAAGAAACTTAGTGCTCATGTTGGTTTTCAATTCAAATCTTTGGAGTAAAGTACATGATCGTTTCCGGAGTTAAAATGTTTAGAGGAACAAAACTACTTACATTTTGTCTGCAGGCGATAGGAGGATGATACATTGCAGTACAACACAAATTATACTCTTCACCAAGTCAGTCCCCTTATAGAAAAGAAGACCTTCATATTCTCATTAACACAACAGTTTTGCCTAAATCACTTTGATCACAAATCCCTTCTTCTCATATATATCAAACTGTTTCGCCACAGAGCTCCTAATATAGTAATAGTTCAGTATGTTTGGGGTTACTTTTGAAAATATCTTAAATTTGTGGTTTTAAATGCGAGAGAGCAAAAATATAGGTAGCGAAAAGTAAATAGTTGCCACTGCAATTCTCGTCACACCAGTAGTATAATTTCAGCTTCCCCAAATTTTATTCTCCACAATAGCGTTTTGTGTCTTCTTCGCATCAGAATCACTCCGTTCTTCTCAATTAAGGTCAGATCTCTCAATCAATCGACTCTGAGGAAACCTCAGTTCTCATCAAAATCATGACTCTTGGCTCAGGGGGATCGAGTGTTGTCGGTAAATTCTCGATTTCTTTTTTTTTTTGTTTTTGCTTTTCTGTGTGTTCCTCTTAACTTCTTCTTCCTAGGGTTTTTGATTTGAGGCTAGAACATGTCTTGGGTTTATCTGTAGATATTTCAGTCGATCTTTATTCTTGATTGTTGTTTATGATTTTATCTGCATAGGAATCATACCTGAAATCTATCTCTGTTTCTTTTACTGAGTAATTTGATTGTTTTTGTATACTTTGAAAATTGTTCTTCTTTTGATTGATATGAACTTGCTCGGTTAAGAATTTGTAGTCCGGTTCTGTGATAATCCCAATTCTTGAGTTTGGTTTTTTGTTTGGCTAACCATTCCAATGATTCTGAGTTCTTGGTGTGGTGTGGTTGTCTTTTGTTTCATTTACTAAAACAGAGTATTTTTAGAAATATAAAGACCAAAGAAAGTGATGAGCTGAGCTGTTTGATGGTTTACCTTGTGGTTGTTGTTACAATATAGTTCCGAGGAATTTTAGATTGTTGGAAGAGCTTGAAAGAGGTGAGAAGGGTATTGGAGATGGAACTGTGAGCTATGGAATGGACGATGGAGATGACATTTATATGCGCTCTTGGACTGGCACTATCATCGGTCCTCACAACGTAGTTATATCTCTTTTTTTTCTTCTAATCTTCACTTACTAGAAAACCTTTTGAATGATCTGACTTTGTGTCTCCTTCTCGAATGGTTTTTGGATATGCAGAATCGGAAACGCGTTGTGATTGTATCTGACTGGTATGTTGTTTGTGCAGACTGTACATGAGGGTCGAATTTATCAGTTGAAACTTTTCTGTGACAAAGATTACCCTGAGAAGCCCCCGACTGTTCGGTTCCATTCTCGCATCAACATGACTTGTGTCAACCATGAGACCGGCGTGGTAGGAATTTTTTAATTTTAGATTTTGGGATTTGTTGCTTCTGAATTAGTTTACTCAATGTGCATTTGCATATATAGGTGGATTCAAAGAAGTTTGGAGTTCTTGCAAACTGGCAAAGGGAGTACACAATGGAGGACATACTGACTCATTTGAAGAAGGAGATGGCTGCATCGCATAACCGGAAGCTTGTTCAACCTCCTGAAGGAACCTTCTTCTAATACTCTCAAAAAGCCTGTACTTTTGAGGGGCTTTCTCCATTGTTGATCTCAAGCTTTTTTCATTCGTACCTAAAAGTAAAAACAATGGTGTCTATGGATGAATGATGATGTTCGATTAGTCCTCTGGAATTTAAGTCCTTGTGTGCAAGTGTATGAAGACAAAGTTGTCTTACGTATTCATTTTCTAAGTTTAGATATAATATGAGAAACTCATCTAGGAGCAAAAGCAGCTTTTGTTTGGCTCTCTTGCATGCTAGTGAATTGCCTGATCTATCTCGTTTGTCACTCAGACTCGAACTCTCCTACTGTGTTCACACTTGGGTGCAGATCATTCAAGAACTACGTCAAGATCATTGGACTGTAGGTCTTCATGTAGTTTGGTATTGGAAATTGATCCCGAGATTAGGTATTTTGTTGAAAATATGATTCAGACCTTCAGTTACACGAGTGGTGTAACTTCAACGAAGTGTTAAACAATACGATTTTTACAAAGTCTTTAGGACGCAACTTATTCTTGGACTGGTTTATAATATGCCTCTAGAGAAGCTTCTCAAAAACTAACTCATCTTCATGGCTCTGTTACTCGTGTCGAAGTTTCAGTTTCGAGTTTGAATTTGGACAAAAGAGTGAAGGCTGTAACGTCAGTATTATTAGAATCATGTCGGTGTCTGTTTCCTAATGTCCTAGGCTTGGGAAGTGTGTCATATCATCATCTCCTTCACCTTAAGCTTGATTATTAACGACAGTCCATTACCTCTCCTCTATAGCCTTTTCCCCCATCTTTACTCAGTTCCATGTGACTTTTTTGTTTTTCATTCACAAACATTGACCACTATTTTTATCACTATCTTTCGATCTATGCTACTCCTTTTTGGTTCTTAAGGAATTAACTTTTTTTTTTAGGTTGCTTGTCACATCATTTCATTCAAAGGTACTTTTACCTTTTTAATCATCTCACTATAAATCTTTTTAATTACCTCATTATAAATAATAATTTTTACATTGACGACCAGGGAATCTAACTCTATGTAACACTTGAAAACATTGCGAATGGTTTTCTAAATGACATCAAAACAGATAGTTTTACTCCAAATATGTTAGTAATCAATACTTACAAGCATAGTTGAGTTTTAACTCTCTTTTTTTCATCCATTGTTGTGTTACCATTTTACAAACACCGTACAAGACAATAAAATCGACACTACGTTCATGTACCTTCCATTAAAAGAAAGAGTGACCGGGTGTTCAGATTTGTATATTTTGAAACGACTTTCAAAGTCTATGCACACGGTTCATGAATCGCGCCACCTCATTTCATATCATCACACGACGAAAATCAATATATTATTATTACTTTTGTTAAAGACGACCAAATCATTTAGCAACCAATGAATCAATGATACATGAAGAAGATAACAAAAAGTGTAATATAATGTTAGAGAATGCATCATATATACATACATACATAACGCAAAAAATGGGTCCATCCAAAAGCCATGCACCCATGTGCTCATCATTCAACGGAAGGTACGGATGATTTTCGTTTGATTCTAGCTTTGGTAGCGCATCTCTCGTCGCGTTTTAATTAATCAATTTTTTAAATGTGTTGTTGGGTTCATCTGCGCGTTTTAATTAATCAATTTTTTAAATGTGTTGTTGGGTTCATCTACATGCATGGATGTGTAAGTTGTAATCTATCTACATACTGATTAGTAATTACGATCGAGCGGCTACGTTGAGGTATATATGTTTGTTTCGTAATTGCTAGCGCCTAGCGGCATTGATCACAACAATGATCACCAACATGGTTTTGTTCGTTTTGTGGTCTTTACTCTTTAGTTTAGCGGTAACTATCGTTATGGTCAGCGAAATTCCAAATGAAGAGAGCCATATACGTATACAACTTCACATTGTAGCATCTTTTACTCTCTAACACATTCTTCTGGCATTAGTATTAGAATAATGGTTCTAAGACACATAATCAATTAACCATCATCATTTGTCTTCCTTTTGGTGAAAACATATGAGATTGGTTTTAAACCTTAAATCTTAAATTACAACAACAAACATCATAATTTTTGAAAATTTTAGAATATTTTTGTTTGGGCCACTAGAGAGAAGACAATAATGGTCCCAAAGGAAACAAGGGTTAGATAAGATTGGGCCTACAATATTCCTTGAAAGCGATAATCTTAATATATTTAAAGTCTTCTTATTCAAAGATCCAAAATAGTAATGTCACATTCTCCAACTTCTGAGCTACAAAATATTTTATATAAATCTTTCGTATTCGTGACACCAACACACTGTCCCCTCTCTTCACTACTTTAGTCACGTCGCTGCAATTTCATGGACCCAAAAAAACCTCACATTATAAACCTTGAGATATCTCAATTATTACTGCAAGATATATATGTGTGTTTCTTTTATGTTTATGAATTTGTGTCGGGATAACTTTTCATGTTAAAAGAATAAAACCTCGTTCCAATTCCCGAACAAGATATCTATATATGTAGGTATCTTGTAAGCATAAATTGTATAGTTCTCTCTTCTTCTTTTTTAACGTCAGTCATATAGTAAATTTGGACTAATCGACATTGGTATAATTGATGATTTATAATTAATAATCAACTTATCTGTTTTTCTTAACAAAATCTTAGGGCTAAACATGGTCTAATCGTTTTAAGTTTTAATGTGAAATGAGTAGTAGTTGTTTGTTTGGTAAGCTAAAGCTAAGGATAACATTACTATGTGATGTTGGAGCTGTAACGGGATGCTTTTTTTCAAATATATCAAAACTGGTAAGCTGCTAAGGATGACATTACTATGTGAAGGTTTGTAAAATAGTAGAAAGGAATCATGATTTTTGGTATAGCGATGAGGAGATAGAAGGAGGATAGATTTCGTAGGAAGAGGACCACATTCTCATCACACCAAAATGGTCCCTTATCTTTTGCTCTTCTACCACCGTTGAACTTGCATTACTTTAATTGTGTAAACAGTTACATTTCTATCAAATTTAATTGTTTAGTAAGCATTACTTAGAACGGGTTATATAGATTCATATGAATTTTTTTTTTAAACTGTTGTTGATATTGTTTGTTGAGAATCTCGCATTCAAAGAAATAAAAACTTTAACTTTGTGAACATATAAAGCTATTTATTATATATCATACGATCACGCTTTGACGTGATATCTCTCAATCTTTCATGGTTTGGATACTACATATTGAGATCTTTTAATTAGATACATGATCGGATGATCCATGTTCAGTATGGTCTCGATTTTAAAACAATAGATACATCATACCTACATATAGTACGTATAAAACTCATACTCTGTAGACCAAATTACAATGATTAGCTAAGAGCGATGGATATATTGTTATAAAAAGAAGAAAAAAATGTGATTATTCAAATGAAACGTCTACGAAATTTCCATGACGACAATATGGCATAATTAATAATAAGAATTTAGAAGAGACATACAGCTTTCAATCATTATCTTCCCTTTTAAAATTCCACATGATTTGTCTAATATCTCTGCTTATAGTTGTATAATTTTATTTGGAAGCTTCTACTTCGATTACATTAAAGTTGTTTTTAAAACTCATAAATAATATTTTTGATATGGTAATGATTTTGATATCTCTCCTCCCGTGTCGCAATCTCTATTCACTGGCGTCGCGTGAGAGGCACGTGAGTGAAAGTTACGTGCAAAATGGATTTGTGAGAAGAGAAGACGACTCACATGGCACTGCCTTCTATATAAAATATAAACTCACCGATACGATCTATGATTTTCTGAATTTTTCTTTATTTATATCATCTACCACTGCATTATTATGCAATACATGGGATTATACTATTTTTATGGAAGAATCGTTATCAGTGAGAGAAATTAACTAAGCTATCAATTAATTATATGTAGTAAATATTTATATCTAGCTACACTTGTCAGATAAGAACTATTGAGTGTCATTGACAATAAAGTTAACATACATGCAATATACATTTTTATATATATACGTAAACACATTGATGCAAAAAAAAATAGGTTACAAATGCGAGCAGTTTCCATGAAAGAGGATCACAAAATGTTTCCGATTCGGGGAGGAAGCGTGTAATAGCAATTAGTTTTTAATGCATAGGTTTGAGATATTGTCTGATTTGTTTTTACAAATAATTTTTCTTTAAACCGACGTCGTATCTTTTTGTTTGTTGGTCAGGTTAGTTGGTTGATTCGTTGGTTTTTAATTTGGTTGTTGAGTTTTTCTTGTTATAGAGTGTATAATTTTATCTATGTTACGTCTTTGTTTTTAATCCATTTAAATCATTTGTCTTATGTTTGAAGTCTAGATTATGATCATTTGATACTTTTGATACCATTTATCTATAGTTTTTTTTTCTTTTTTCTTTTTTTGGCTAATTTGGTTTCAAATTTAAGGTATAATAATGTAGATTTAATTAGTTTGATCATACTTTGTTAAAAAAAAATTAGTTTGATAATACAAGTACAAGTTAGGTTTTGATTTTACATGTCTATCAATATTTATTGTTTTATAGTAAGCTTTGGTTTCTATCAGAATGGAACTAAATCAAAGATTCAAAATACTAAATTGTGATGGACCAAACTTTTTTTTTAATGTGGCCTAACATTTTGTCTTTCTTTAGAAATAACGATTTTACGTTCCATTTGCCACGTGCAAATACAAAATTATGTAGTCCCCTAGTACGGAAGCTTCAATTATCATTTTATTTTTTGTGAAACTGCGATCATCGGTCGACACTTAGCTAACTTTCAAAATAACTAATATTAAAACATTTGTATTCATCTTGTGTTCTTTTTAAATTTCATAGATAATGATGTAACACGGTAAACGATGTTAGCTAGACGAATTCAAAACCAAATAATTTGTAATATACTCCTTATGTAAACTTTTTAGGATTTAAAATTCTTTTTTGAATAAGTCTAAAAGATTTGAAGAAGCTATGAGGAAAAGGGAAAAAAACGAAAACAAGAAAGCATCATAGATACACAATAATAAATACGAAAACAGCTTAACCAGGAAAAGGTACTGAGTTTTGTAATAGTATTGAATGAACCCCAACCAAACAACATTAAATTTTGAAGCTAATAATTTAATACAACAACCAAATAAAAATTTAATAAAGAAACTGTAGTCGTAGTATCATAATACAATGTAGACGTTAAAATAAGTAAAAGGAACGAGAAGAAGAGTAGAAGACCCTACCCCATTCGTCTCTCTGTCCTCTCCTCTTCAAACCCTTAAAATCTTCCCTCCCTCTCACTCCCATTTACTCTCTCAGTTTTCTTATTTTCTTGAATCCAAATCCCCAAAACATACAACCAAAAGTTAAAGAAACATGAAACTCCCGTTTCTAACCAAGAACAACTCTACATCTTCGAATTCAAACTCATCATCATCATCTCATTCCTCTTCTTCATGGCCATGGCCTTCTTGTAATCAAGAACCTAAAACCATGTCTTTCAGAGCCACCATCACTTTCACCAACCCTATCCACGACCAAGACGAAGACGATGAGCTCGACTTCGATGACCCACCGGAGATTTCAGAGTCTATAGAGAAGGTCATAAAAGGGCTAAGATCATCAGAGAGACTCATCTTCGAAAGCAAAGGAGAAACCAACTCTATACTTGAAGAAGCTACGAGTAAGCAAGAAGAAGACAAAGAAGACGAGGAAGAAGGCTTCATGCTCCTCTCCTTGGATTCGCACGACCCTTACACTGATTTCAAGAGATCCATGGAAGAGATGGTTGAAGCTAACGCGCTTCACCACGACTGGAAATGCCTCGAGACGCTTCTCCTTCAGTTCTTGAAAGTCAACGCCAAGGCCAGCCATCGATACATTTTCGCGGCCTTCGTCGATCTCCTCGTGAGCTTAGCAGCACTACACACCAAAAACCCCATCGGGAACAACGACATTTCCAAAGACGACGGCGTCTCAGCCTCACGCGCCACCGCAGGAGCAGCCGGAGAAGCAAGCACTTCTTCTTGTTGTAACAGTACTATGACTCTTGGAGAGTCTCCCTCGTCTCCGTTGTCCTTCTACACTTCGTGTTCTAATTCCTCTTCTTCCTCCGATGAGACTTCCTCCACGTCCGTACGATTCTTGCCGTTGTCTTCGTTGTTAGAGATAGACGAAAAGACTAATGACATTTTAGTTTAGATTATGCTTAATTTGCTTTTTTCTTTAATTAATTTGTTCTTTAGCTTAATTAAAATTTGTGCAGAATCGTAACTTTTGGCTACCCCGACTACACATATGAAATTGATGAATGGTATTAATATGATATTGGTATATGAGTCTATGACTATCTATTTTACTTAACTATTATTTTAAAAAATTTAGGTATATATGATAATGATAGTTCGATTGGACCATTTTTTATAGATTCAAAATTAAGGCAAATGAATCGGTGGTTACTCAACTTGTATAAATGTATATTATAACATTTAGTTGTTTTTAAATCTATCGAAAGAAATGAAGGCTAAAAAAAACAATCTATAAAAAGAAACTAAAAATAAAATCATAGCTATAGCGAATGAGATAAAATAAAATAAAATAATAGTCAAAGATAAGTAGATTGCATATAATGCTTCCACCTTTCATTCAAAAGGAAATTGTACACAAGAAAAGAGAAATAAATTTGAGTTAAATTCTATATACTATGGTGAACTTACAACAAATTTATTTAGATAATAGTTCTTCACGTTCACAATTTTTTTTTCATAAAAAAGATAATAATAATTTTTGTTTTTTTGAATGTAATCAGACAAAGTTTTAAAAATAAATAAAAGTAAAAAAATTGCAAACCGTGTTTGAACGTTGGGTAAACAGAGTGAGAACGGCAAAACAGTGAAGATCTTCGCTTCAACGGCAGGTTTGGCTTTAAGATGAGACATGTGGGACTGTGTGACTCTGTGACACAATCCTACGAGATTGTCTCCTCCTAATCTATAGTTTTTATTTTACAACTATTTACTTACTAATAATAAATCATAGGTTCATTATCACTTAATTATTAACATGGGATGAATTATTTATATACTATCAATTATGTATGGTTTTAATTAGTGCTCTGACATCGTGTTTTTGATAGATCTCAATCGGAGCCGTTGGTTTTTGAATTTTACTGTCGTTATTTATATATAGCAGGTTTTTTTTGTCTTTCTTTTCTTTTTCTTCTATAAGAGACCTGGTTCGTATAATAAATCCAAAAATAATTGTGACTGCAAAAAAAAGAGCCCAGAAATTCAGAATATAAACAAAAATATTAGATGCTGTAAGATATACCTGCATCTGCCTTTTTTTTAAAAAGCCCTGACATCTCTGCCTCTCTTGATATATATATATATATCTTCCAAACATATTTAGAAGCCATCTAGCCATATACACCATCCCTACAATAACAAAACTATGTAAATTTCATTGCCTATAAATTAATCACCTACACACGTAAGCAGAGCCGTCCAAGAGGCCAAGCAAGGCAAGCTTGTGCTTGCAGCCTTCAAAATAATATAGACTAAATCGGCCTTTAATTTTGTAAAACTTCTCATAGCCTACTGGTTAAAAATGTTGCTTAAATGTGCAAGGTAACGAGTTCAATTTATATTTTTTTAAAAAATAGGCCTTTATATTTTTTTTGCTTCCAGCCTTCCAATTTTCAGGGACGGCTCTGCACGTAAGCAAGTAAGCAACTTCTTAGAACACTAAAAAATAATGCAACATTATCACCTACATTTTCATGCATATGCAATATGTATCATGCATGCATGGATTCTTATATGTTTTGCCGTTTACTCGCTCAAATCTTTTAAATGTGTCATTTTCACTTAAATTTTGTGGATTTGCCATTTTTAAGATTTTTAAAATATGTGTTTTTATGATTTTTTTTGCGAAAATACATACTTTATAATAAATACTAAATCCAAAGAAAATATGTAACCAAGAAAACTCAAACATTATATAATATGTAAGCTTATGTTTTTAGATCTTACAAAATGGCAAATCAAATATATGTTGAGTAAAATGGTAAAAACTGTAAATGCCTCTCAAAAAAATTATTTATCTAGTAATTAACTCATGCAGTCTAAAAATGTTGTCTTAGTTGGTTTGTTTTTTTGGTCACCAAAGTCTTAGCTGGTGATATAGTATAAAAAGTGTGTAGTTAGAAACTTATAAATTATTCACAATAAGTATTACACTGAAAAGTTGAGAAAATATCACATTCAACCATATTATTGTTTTTGTTACAAAACAAATGTTGGTTATACTATTTTGTTACTCAAATATTATTTTAGGTTTTCAATGTAAATTATGATATAAAGAATCTCTAATACATTTGTGGTTAAGTTTAATTAAAATGTTATATATTATACAAAAATATAAGTAGTCAATGATATATACTTTGTAATTAACACGAGAAGTATAAATACATTCATTTTATCTCCAATTTTTTTCAAATAGGCATGGATTGATTATACAGAAAAAAAAAAAGAGGTAGAAGATAAAATGTAATCTAATGACTTCACGGCGGAGAAGAATCTCCCTGGCAAACTGCAGAAAGTGGAACGAGTGGCTCAAACCAAACCCTTCACCCTTTTTTTCCTATATATCATTTCCAGTTTCATATATTCACCAATTTATTAATCTTTTATCTTTATCGAAAAACACTATAAGGATAAATACTTAAATTGATGTAAAAACAAAATAACTGTCAGCTCTCTAGCTACCTTCGAGATTAATCTTTCTGCGGTAACGATTATTAAAATCTCAAGAAGGTTCGAACTTTTGTATCAGTAGCTGTTTAAATAAACATATCTAATCACCCCTCAACATCTCTCCAGTTTGATACATAAGTTTTCTTGGCTTTTTGTTAAGAATGTGTTAAAATAGAAAACGAATTTCATTTTTCTAGATGCAGTTTAGTATTTTAAAATGATTCTCGAAGTTTATAATAATCACAAGTATGATAATGAGTCATTAAAAAGGAATAATGGAAGTAATTAAAAATATATGAGCATCATTATAAACGGATTGGGTCCAAAATTTGAGGCCGTGTTTTGCTCTCTTGAGATTCAAAGTTAGACATTTATTAGAAAGACCAAATCCCAAGTCAGATTTCAACTTTAAGCTCATAGTTTTACACAAGCGACATTGGTGTTCTAACGTCTTCTTTCTTTGTTCGTACTCCTCATGTCTTGTGGTATACAGCTTTGAGCTTAACTAATGCAATGTGGTTCGTGTCATTAAATTGTTACAAGTTACTGTAGTGACACTGTTCTTTTCACTTACCAGTGGCTTTGGATCGTGGTTTATATTGTCTAACCGGTTTGATTAACCTCACACGTAGTCAAACCTGATAGAGATAATTAACAAACAAGTTCGGTCCGGATTCAAAGTACTTTTGTGTAATCAGCTCTCAGCTTTTTATCTACGTACCCGTGTTTCAAACACTCAAATCGAAACCATTTATTTAACCAATAATTTTTCTTGGCTTTTTTTTAGAATAGTAAGTTAAATTTCTAGGAAAATGGAGATACAATTAATGGGTTTGTATTGTAATCTCAGATTAACTTGTTTTGAGAGGAATTATGTATTGGGTTTCTCTAAAAACATTTGGACTATTAATAGCCTGCAGGTGTGTCTGTTACTTTGTCCAAGCTCTACTAATCAAATACAATTAAAACTCATGGTTTCTAATTGTGGACTCGAATTGGGAATCCTACGCATCGCTCGTCAAGTATGTTGACTTTTAATTTACACCGTCGATCACTTGAACAAGTCTAGACGACTCTTTTAGTCTTTTACTCTCTGAACCATCTGGTCTTAAGTATCAGCCCATATTGTTCAAGCCCTTAAACATGTCTGGGCCGACTCCATTTTGCAGTTGTAAGGGTTACAACTATAAAACATTACTCTCTTCAACGAAATCACTAAAAAATAAATCGTAAATTGTGTTCATGCAAATTGAAATTGTACATAAAAAGATTTCTCCATTTTAGGTTATCATATACCAAGATTTACCTTTTGAACATGACCATCAGAAATTGTATTTTTGAGTAATACTAACCTTTTATTAATTATAACGTATGATCGAAAAAACAAAATCTACATTACGTAATGATAAAAAAAGACCAGAGTTTCTGATTAACTCCCGAACCCTAACACATTGATAGCAAGAAGTTTTTTTTTTTGGTTTAATTAATAGCAAGAAGTTACTCAGGGATTTCATATATTCTAGAGATTACTCTCGATTTGATTTACATTTAATTTCCCAGTTTTAAAACACAAACTCATTAGATTTGATCACAAACTAAAAATATGACAAAACAAATCTATAGGCGAACATTTCAGAAGTTTAGAGAAAATTTGCTTCTGAGAAGCCATAAATGGAAGAGCACGAGAAATCTCACAGAATCGTTATTGGTTATCGTTAATGCATGCTTCTTTTAATTCACAGGCTTCTGAACGTATAATTATTACTAGTTTGCTGGTTAGTCTAATCTGAAAATTTACTTCAATACTAGTATTGATTACCATATTTACTTTTGGTAGTTGGGTCATAATATTTATAGCACCTATTGATTATTCCTTCAACATTAATATGAATGCGTGTATTAATAGTCCTAGATATTATAGACGAGCCTAGCTAGTTGGATGAAGTTATGTGTACTTTTGTATGCGATTTTGGCTTTGGACTTTTATGATGAGAAACAGAAACAAGTGTTTCTAAAAATGGAATTGAACCACCCGGTCAGATCGTTGTAACTCTGATTTTAAACAATGTATATAATTTGGTTTATTCTACGGGTAAGCATTTTCTTTAAGCTAACACACAAACACACACAGATACCAACAACACCAGTTTAAAAAGTGTTGATCAGTCAGTGATTACACATAAGCAAACAAAAACTTTACAATTTGAGTGTAAGGACTTTGGATTTTGTAGTGGTACCATAACCAAGTACCATTTGGTACCACCCACCTGATGGTCCAAGCTAACAGATTAAAGTGGCTTCTGAAAGAAAGGGAAAAGAAAAACAAGTTTGAATTATTTTTTTAGACTGAACCAAAAATAATGAACCAAAAATAATGAACCAAATTATTTTGTTGACAATGGAAAATGAAAATTAATATACATAGTCTATATTCCTTTTCCATATTTTTTGCACGTAAATAAAAATTACTCATTTGCAACTGTGGTACATGATAATCAAGTGGAAGAGTTTACCAAAAATAAATCAAGTGGAAGAAATTTTGGATGCATGTGTAGTAATCGAGTACAATGAATGAGTGTTAAATTTAAAACGAAAAAAATACCAAGTGTCTCTTTTATGGGATTAAGCCAAACGTACAGTCTTAATTATTCATGAAGCTGATACCATCAACGATGATGATAAAAGAAAAGAAAAGAGGACAGTATTTTATCAAGTAACAATTTCATTGATGAACTAGAAATTACTTGGGTCAGCGAAGAATTAAATACCTTGGGGACCAAATGTTTACGACAAAACTTTTATTAGAAAAATGTAGTAATTTCTTGAAATGTCTGTAGAGCCGAGTAGGGCAACTAGACAAAAACTAATAATTACTAGTTCAAATTTCTTTGTTTTGGCAACAATAATTAAAAGGATGGATCCTTCATATAGGAAACTGTAAAGAAGGGTTCGTCCAAAGTCTCATCATCATCAATAAAATACACACACACACAGAGAGAAAGAAGTGTAATAAAAATGATACAGCTAAGTGTCTGCCTCACTATTTATATACGTAGTTAATACTATTACTGTATTTTACAACACACTCTTTCTAATTATTACGAGTACCAAATCCCAATGCAGCCTTCATGTCTTTTACCGCCAAAATCCATCCACAGGTTCGATACTCTTCTATGACTGTTGTATTCATTATGACGACTTATGAGGGGGCAGTAAAGAATCATTACGGATTTGGGATTTGGGATTTTTTTTTTCTTTTTTTTTGGGGTTATGTAGAAAAGGTTAAAAATATCAATGGAGACCAGTTAGGTTTCACTGAAGTTTATTTTTACCGCTTACAAAGTAGCATGTGTGTAGTATATTCAACATAGCCCTAAATTGTTTGGTTTGTATATGTATGTGAGTTATGGCATTAACATAAATTGCGATAATATTTGTCTCACTATCTTTATATTTGTAAAATTTGATTTAATAGAACATTATCGATACAAGTTTTAAACGGATAAAGAAATTAACTTGTTTTTTGTTTAAATGTTACTACACTTACACATTTGGAAACAGAAACTTAAAAAGAACAAGAAATTCAAACGTTTGGAAAGAGAAGAATAAAAACAACTTTGATTGGTTTAATGAGTCAAAATATATTTAGAGTATTTAGAGATGCGAGACTCTAAATCTTGAAATCTAAAGTAAAATTATCGTTTGTGGATCATTTTGAAAATAATACCAATAGAATATTAAAAAATGCTGTTTGATACTACTATTTATTAAAAAGCTAACACGTACGTGCATATATGTAATGGTTTTACTATATATATGCACTATTATCAATATGCTTCTATAATGCAGCTACTAAATAATAAGACCGTACGTGACAGATCAACTAATGCGATCATCCATGTTTCATAATTTGATATCTGACATGTGCGTATCATCAAGGCTTGTCTTATATGGCTCTTCTCTTTTTAAATCATAACCAGTGATTTAAGACTTGCCGTACTAAACTATATACTGTATGCACGAGGATCCATTCTTCCATTACCCGATCATGATCACAACCATTGAATTTGATCATAATACTAGTATTTCCTAATCTGACTGTCTGACCGTACATGATTAATTACACATTAATCACGATTTTATTTCTTTCAAAAAAATAAAATAATGATCACACTCTCAACATCAAAAGTTTGCTCCCGTGGAGTATTTTTACATCTATCTAACATGATCGTCCTTTCCATTTTACCAGTATTTTTTCGATTATATTATCTGACCTTAACCACAATTAATATTAGAGACTCTAATAGAGGCTTCTTCTTTTTCTTGGTAATCAATAAATTACATTTTGAATATAAATGATCTTGAGGGCCTAGTGTGCCATGTAAGATGTCCCATGGTATATAACTATTTTGGACTTGCCACTAAACAAACCGACATACGTTAGAGTTTGAAGTTGCTTACTATATATTGACACACTTACAAAGTAGAGCATAAGATGACAAAAAAAAAAACAAAGTAGAGCATACAGTCCGAAATTGACAATAAAGGATTAACATCAAAGACTGATATATATAGAATCCGGGATCTAGCACACGGCCAAGCTATTGGTGTGTGAAACTAGTAACAAACTTGATTAGGTTATATTATTTTCAACATACCAGCACATCTTTAGCTAAGCACATGAGGTTAATTAAGACACAACATATACCGTTACATATTGTAAGATTTGTATATACTTCAAGAATTATGTTTAACATGTCCGATTTTAGTCCGAAATAAGTATTTTCTAAAGGTTGATCTCCATAAACTAATTCGTCATTGCAAAAAATTTCACCACAAGCAAAACGGCAAAAAAAACATAAGTTATATTATCCATTGGAGAAAAGTGAAGAATATATAATGCATTTTTGACAGTAGTATAATCAAAACATGCACGGTTCATATCTGGAATAAAATATACCTAACATTCAATTTCTTTTTTTTTTTTTTACTGCCCATTTCGTACATTTATCAGTCTTGACCATATCTTACGTGAAGAACTGCACAAAATGTATAAAATGTATGACTGTCATTAAAATCTTAATATCCGTAGTCTGATTATAAAAAAAAAAAAAAAAAAAATTCACGTGGACTTGTTTTGGGGAAACCTTTCACGTCATCGTCCTATTGAGAGTCACGAGTGGCATGCACAAAAAAGATCTTTAAAACTTCTAATTCTTTTTCGATTTTGGCCCAACACAACAGCAAAAATCAACATAGAAACATGTAGCCATAGCAATATTATTATAAATACTTTTCTACCATTGTCGTGTTACATTTGGTTAAAACAAGAAAGATAGGAAAATCCCAAAGCTAAGATAAGAAAGTTAAAAGCACAAACCCAATAATGTATTGACACGTCGTGTAGCAGGTAAAATGGATAGTCAACGTGTCAATACATTATTGGTGACGTGGCATAATTCTTAGTTAAACAATACAAGAAATTAAAAGGTTACATCGTTCGGTGGTAGTGGTTACGGTGCGAGGCACGTGAGCCATGACGGTGGACGAGCGGAGACTCTTGGACTCCTCCACGGCGTTTGACGGCGGCGGAGAAAACTCCGTCCCAGATTTCTGAGAAGGCTCGGATGATGATGCCGTGGTGGTAAGGCTCGTTGAGGGAGAGGAAGCAGTGGAGAAGCTCTCTGAGGTCGTCTTTGGAGTAAATCTCGTTCTCGAGAATCATCTGAAGCATAGACTGACGGAAATCGAGGTAAGGGTCGTCGGAGTCTTTTTCAACGGCTACGGCAGCGGTGGTGGGTGTGGCGGAGGAGGAAGAGGTGTCGGAGAACCAGTGGGAGGTGGATGGGACGGCGGAGGAGGAAGAGGCCGTTGTGTTGGAGGAAGAGTGGCAATGGCCGTAGCTAGAGGAGTAGTGACGGGGCTTTTTGGGGGAAGGGTTGAAAAAAGAAGACAAGTTTGGGAACTTACAGTTGCTACAGCCAATGTCTACAACAGAGACTGCCTTAAGGACCATCTTCTTCTTCTTGCCTTTGCCGGTCGTCGTCATAGCTTGCTTGCTTGCTCACTCTCTTTGTTACTACTTACTATGTAGATGAAATTGGTATTAGAGAGAGAGAGAGAGATATGGAGTGAGTGAGTGATGAGGGAGAGAGAGAGAGAGAGACTACTTGGATTGGTATTAATAAAAGGTGCATGTGGTGACTGAGATGGATTAATGAGAAGTAAACTCTTAGCAATAATATTTAATTTGATGTTCAACGACAGTTTATAATTTCTTTTTTAAGTTTTGTGATCGTTTTTAAAACATTAGTAAATGTCTATATGCATGACAGCACGAGCATTAATTTGACATTTACTTACTTACTCCACTGGTTCTATACTTCTATTAAAGAATAGTATTAGATATATCATAAATATATAGGACTACTATTAGAGTTTAATATACTAACAAAGTAAGGAAAAAAAAAAGGTAAGGAAAAATAAATAAATTAACAAAGTAACAAGTACATAATGTATTAATGTCCAATATTTAAGGTTTTTCATTATGATTCCAAATTATAGTTGGCCAATGTATCTATATATATAATTTTATAAGAAAAAACTAACTTTGATGTAACAAGTTGTGTATAATTAGTAAATTACACATGAAGTTTACAATATCACAGAAAAGTTGTAGAATTTAATTTTATAAGAAAAAACTAACTTTGATGTAACAAGTTGTGTATAATTAGTAAATTACACATGAAGTTTACAATATCACAGAAAAGTTGTAGAATTAGTCAATTAGGCTCTCAGTAGAATTTGTTTTAAAATGTATTTTGTATTGGGCCTTCATGAGCTTTATAAAACGCATTACAATGACCCTCGACAATGTGTCACTCAAGACGGATATAAAACCCAAAGCCCGTAGCTCCTCCTACCACCCTTCGATCTAGCTTAAAGACATCCAGACCATACTTTTAGTTTACTTTATAACAACTGCGGCAATACAATGGTTTTTTAATTTTTTTATTATCTATAGTGTTATAAGTAACACTACTACTTAGTTTTAACTTGAGTATTACTTATTTATTAAATTACTTTGGCTTTCAGTTTGAACCATTTTAGTTAGATTACAGTGAAAGTCTTAAAAGATAAAATCATCGTAAGTAATCATTTGAATAATTAAGGTAAAGGTTTAGATATACTCCCATTAACGTGTTGACTATGTTTCCAACACATAATTGTTTTTGCCATTTTTTGACTAGGTCTGCCTATCTAAAATAAAAAACTTAATATTTGTAAATCAGAATAATCTGTTTATAAAGATTTTAGTTAGTGTGACTCAGCCAAAATTTCAATTACTAATCTTGAATTGGACTTTTATCTTTTGTAAATTTCCTATGAAGCAATGGACAATGTTAAAATCTCAATCACGAGAATAGGAAGATAACGGTCAAACGATAAACCCGTTCCTCGTACCCACAAAACTATAGCGTTTGTGGCAAGCAATTTTAAAACCGTTTACTTTTTTTTTTTTTTTTTATTTTTTTTAATTACAAGAATCGTTTAGGTCTCCCATTTGTTGTATACCCTCAGAAGTATTTTGCCAATTATAGAAATCACGAGTCTTCATAATCTTCTCCTTATTTTTTCCTCATTTTTAAGAATTCAAAGTTTTTTTTTGTTTTGCTTTAACCGGAGAGACACCCTCTCCCTAAATATATATAGGTTTGATTACAACAAATTAACTTAGAGAGACTTCTCTTTTTTCTTATAATTATACAAATTCGGTAAGTGACAAAACATAGTTTGATTGATCTCATTTTGCAGTTTTGATCCTTTTTCAATTCTTCCGGAAAAGGATACGTTCAAGAACCCTTATTACAAGGACGAGAGATCTTCCCAGACGTCTTTGATCTTCTTCAATAGGTTCGTTTGCATTTGTTATAGAAAATAAAAGAAAGAAAAAGAATCCATTCTCTAGTTAATGTTGGATCGGTTTTGTTTGTGTTTGTATATCATCAGGGAATAATAATTCTGATTTTGGTCGAAGATGTTGGGAGATTTCATCATCAGACTCCTTGTGTAAGTCGTCCTATACCCTATCTCTTTGATTATTTTTAGTTATAGACGATCAATGTGTATATATGTAAAATTGAAATGGTGATGGATGGTGCAGATTAATATTAGGGTACACATACCCTGCATTCGAATGCTTCAAAACCGTGGAGAAGAACAAAGTTGATATCGAGGAACTCAGATTTTGGTGCCAATACTGGTATTTCTATATATATTTTCTCATCATCCCTTTTATAATTTTAAAGTTTTGATATGTGAGTAGGTGTAATTTATGTGTCATGTGTATAGTTTTATTATAGTGGGCAAATCGATTTTAGATTGATTACCAAAAAGATTGAAGAAATACAAAATTCTGTTAAGTTTGGTGTACATGTTCATTGTTAGAAAAATCTTTTTGAAAATGCTACTAATCTTTCTAACAAGTCTTCTTGGTGTCTCTAACTTTTATTAATATATATTTAGTTTTGATAATTAATCACTGATACAATTCTATTTAAGATATTTTTATTGATGTCCTAATGTATGTGATGCACGTATTTTTAAAAAAAAAATATATTATATATATAATAGTTGATTGTCAGAATGAACTGAAAAATATTAATTTATTGCACATTTTGTATATGAATAATTAGGATACTCTTGGCGGTAATTTCATCATTTGAGAGGGTTGGCGATATATTTATCTCATGGTAAGTACGTAAGATTTATTTATTAGTTAGTTCAAATTCATGTAATCATGTTATACAATCATACCCGTAACTAAATCCACAATTCAAAAATGCATAAAAAGTATTGATATATATGCCATTATTATATATCAGGTTACCGTTGTACGGAGAGATGAAAGTAGTCTTCTTCGTATATCTATGGTACCCCAAAACAAAGGTAAATGGACTTAGTATGTTGCTTTTGGACAAGGTTTAATTTGTAAGGTATAGTAATAACTTGACCAAAAAAATGAATGAAGGGAACGAGACATGTGTACGAGACATTGTTGAAGCCATACATGGCTCAGCATGAGACAGAGATTGACAGAAAGATAATGGAGTTGCGAGCTCGTGCTTGGGATTTTTTCATCTTCTACTTCAACAACTTTGCCCAGGTCTTCTTGTTTCTTTGTTTTCTCATCCTATTTATACGAAATTGTTATAACGTTATCAAAATATTAATATGATATCGATGCACAGGCTGGTCAATCTACCTTGATCCAGGGTTTTCAGTACGTACTCGCCCAATCGGTCCGGTTCTCAGCGGCTGCTGCTAACCCACCGGTACCAACTTATCGCTCTAATATTAGTTAGCTCACATGCATGAAGATTGTTTGTGTTTAATTAGTTTTTAGTATGTTCCACTTTAAAACTGATTCTACAATACTAACCATTTTGAACAGATCTAGTGTTGTTCTTTAATTATAAACGTAAACGTCAACGCAGTTCTGTGTTTACGCTTGTATGTGTTTATCAACTAATATTTGACACAATTGTGTTCCTGCCAAAGCCGATGGAGCGGAATGTGAACGTGAACACGCAGTCACCAGTAGAGATGGACAATGAACCGCAGTCACCGCGGGCTCCAAGACCGCTGAACAAATCTCTGTCTGCGTTGCGATCACTGGAGAAGCAAACGAGCAGAGGGAGGAAGTGGCCGCCACCAACACCACCTCCAACACCAGGACGAGACTCAGCCGGACCATTCACTGGAGACGACGGAGTCAACATTCCTGATACTATTCCGGGATCACCCCTCACCGATGCTCGAGCGAGGCTCCGACGTTCTAACTCTAGAACTCAGCCCACAGCTTAGTAACGTACATATTTTACGTGACTCACGAAAATCCTTCTCTATTTGTTAAAGGAGATATAGGGAAAGAAAAGTGAAATGAAAAGTTTTGAATTGTTTAAAATACAAAACAGATTGATTTTATTTTTTCTTGTTTTGTCTTGTAAATTGAAGCAGTAAGTATTAATACAGCGAGAATATTTGTGTGCTTGTTTTGCTTAATCTTCTCTGGCTAGGTTGTTTAATCAGGATACCGGTTAGCATAGAGAACATGGTTTATACTTTATACAATGATGCATTTGGATGGTCAAAAATTATACTCAAATAGTGTACCAATGCAGCCGATGTAGTGCATTCTCTGTTAAACTTACATTAGTTTTTCGTAACTGGTGCTCCTCTACAACATTACTCTAGCGATAAATGAATTATAATCTAATGGTACATTGTATGGAACGCACCTGTCATTGATTCATACAGGTTCTGTATTTGCTCCCTCCTTGGATTTGATTTTGGGAGTGTTGTGAGGTAACACCTTTGGGATCAGAAGTTGAGATGCGTGTTTGGTATTGGATCATCTTGGGGTTGAGTCAACAGCGGTTGGCGCTATTTCGCCCATTACCGGTGGTGGAGTACCCACGTCGGCTATTCCATAATCCCAATCAATACCAGCTTTTGCTATAGTTAAGGATTGCTTAAATTATCATATGTTGATGGATAAATTGAACTATACGAGAGAAACAGTATGCAAATATGCAAAGGATACAGTCGGTTTTCCAAATATCTGTCATGCTAATTTCAGCATTTGAGAGAAGCCAGTAGTCCGACTCATCATTCTGCAAAATTTAAGAACGACATTTACATGAATATAATTTTAGAGTCATAAATTCATACTAATACCTTCATGTGCACAACTTCATAATTCTCTGTTTCATTCTATTGTTTTCTCGAGTATCTTAAATAAGCAGGAAGATGACTTACTTCGATGTCAGAGGGAGTAATCTTAAGCATTCCTCCTACTTGCTCCTGCAAATAATTAAGATCAGAGGTATCGCCGGGTTGAGGATGAGCATGATCATGAGACACCTGATGCTCAATAGCATTTCCTGTGTTATTAACAGTTAAGGCTTCAATGTCATGGTGTCCAGTAGATCCTGAGCTAGAAGCAATAGGCAAGCATGCTGGTGGTGCTGGAACACTCCCATTTGTGTCTTCGAACTTTCCTTCAAATTCGCTGAACATGAAGTCAATGTAAAAGCATGTAAACAAGAGTGAATTTTCCAATTGAAAAAATGTTTTCCGATGTTCAGTTATCTGTATACCTTTATCAGTGGAGTACATTGAATGCAAAGAAATGTCAATAACAAAGTTTTAGATTATTTGTTTTACAGCTACTTCAGGAGGAATGCTTCTAAGTGTTGCTAACTGGGAAAAAAATTCTAATGAGTAAAACACCAAACTAAACTATTGTATGTTATGACATTGTCTTTCATTATCTTAAATATGGGTGACAACTATTCCAATTTTAAAACGAATTTTGCTTTGATATATATATATATACACACTTTGAAAAGATAGAAGAAACGAAAAGCCAAGGCATAAATACCTGACGAGGTATACGTCAATAGGTCCCATTGTACTTCTAAGAATGATCCTGTATCTCCTTTGGGGGTGGTCAACCGCCTGTTAAGTAGAGAAGAAACATTATTAGAACATATTGGTATCTAACAAATAGTAGCAGAGGTCTTCAAAAGTCGTTGAAAGAGAGACTAACTTCATCTGGATCAGGCACCTCCAAAGTTGTGCCATGAGGAGCTTTGACGGCTATCAGAGTCTGGTTCTGCAGAAAGAGCAAAGAGAGAGTTAAGATATAAGTGAAGAAGTCTTAGGATTAACATACATACAATTTATTGATCAGCATCCCTAAGGATTAAACAAATGAATTTCAAAAGACAGACCTGGAAACCTGGCAAACTCTTGATATCCTCTTCAGTAACAAATAGCCATCTGAACAATGTGAACGGATTGGTTAAGTGTACATCATAAGAATATCACAATCTCATAGTAGAAACAACCTAGCCATACAAAACGATGGAAAGACAGAATTTTTTACTTTTGATTCTTTTCATTTTCGCTCAGATCTCTTAATCTTTCCTCCGATTGTCTGAAGAAAGTTGTTAAGCGTCAGCATTGGTTGAGTAGATTAACCACAACAACCCAAAACTCTCTAAATGAATGCTATGAAACCTGATTTGATTATCTAATGCTTGCTCCTGGAGGGAAAGGTTTTCGATTTCTGCCTGCAAGGAGAAAACAAGATCATTAAACAAAGCGAGAATCTAAGTGCAATCTATGTCATGATTACATGTGCAATGAAGTTTAAGAGTATGCTAGTGCACTACACCTGTAATACAGATACGTCAGCATCCACATCATCAGGACTCGAAGCATCAACGCCCCTAATCAAGTTTATTTATCATCAAGTGAGTTTACATGTAGTAAAACGATTAAGGAATATCCCAATGAAGGAAATACGCAGACATATTTGGTACGAACTACATAAGCATACTATAGCTAAACTATATCATAAAAGTCCTCACTTCCAAAGTATTCGATTCTTGAAAGGCTTTTCGATGAGATCTATCCCCTCCAAAACGTTTGTAATATCATATATACGTCGTTTCTGCACCTCTAATGTTTCTGCAGCTTTGTTTAGGTCCAGCATTCCATCTTTGGCTTGTTTAATTAGATTGACGAACTTTTTTGTAAGAAGACCTGACAAGCTTTACATCAGCACCTTCACATACACTACAACATGTATCAAACGTAACAAGATATAGAGTTGCTAATTACCGAGGGAACTGTCATAACGGCAACTTCCTGAAGGAGTAAGTGTGACAGGAGAACCTGCAAGTTTACCGGGAAAATAAGAACAGTCAAGAACACAAAGGATAAGAACATCACACAGGTTAACCAGCGACCTACTATCCTACTTACCAGTATTCGTTGAGATGGGTGTTTGGGGAGCTGACTTATTTCCTTTGGCCTTTGACTTGATGTTGACTCTGCCCGCCTTTGAAGGAGTTCGACAGGGACTGCTGGGTATGCTAGTGAAACCAGAGCTTGTTGTGAATCCATTATTACATGGAGCAACAACTACATCCATTGTCGACTTTCTCTTCCGTGACTGCAGAAAATTAAGGTCTTATTAACTTGAAAGAAGTTGGTATCCAAAAGATTTTAAAGCATCTACACCCAATTATCTTGTATTAAACATCAGAATCTTCCACAGGATTAAGATCTACCTGAAACATTATACCTGACAAACATGTCAAGCTTCTTACACCCATACTAGCTTAAGAGAATACTTCTAGGATACTTACAGGAAATAAAAAAATAGTGTTGAAGCTCAAAATATAAAATGGGTAGAGATGACAATGTAAGGGGACTAAACGGGTCGTATAAAGAACAACATTGACAAATTCACTGATTACTGAAGGGAGTAGAGAAATTGAAGTGCAATTTCACACACAATTCATCATCCCAGGCAAGAAAATTGCAGAATCAGAGCTCATTTGACATAGAAATTGAAGAAATCGTAGCCTGATTTTGAAGATTTGCGTCAATTGGGTGTAATTGAAACACACTATCAGACAAATTGTGGGCGAAATGTACCATCATGAAGCTAAATAAACGACAAAAATTGGCATGAATCCACAACAATCTAAAGCTGCGAAGCGTTAAAATCAGACTCAGAAGCAGCAAGTAGCAAGCGAAATCCGAAAACATCGTCGAATCCTAAAACCAATCTCACAGGGCGAAACCCCAAAATCGAACAATCAAAAGCACCCAAAACTCACAGGAGATCTAACAACGACAGCATCCTCCTCCCGATCTACAACACCACAGCCATTAATGAAGCTCCTATCGCTGTTATTAGTGAGCGAAGGAGTAAATCGATGGTAATCATCCGAAGGGTGAAACGGCGGTTTTGTTGAGGCAAAAGCTAAGTGACGACGAATAGGTGGCACGACCGGCGTAGAAGTCACCGGAGCCGAAGATGACGGCGGATGGTGCGGCGGCGGCGGTGGCGGCTGAGAAGAGCCGGAAGAAGATCGTACGAGACCAGACATGGATCGTAGTGAAACGTGAGTCGGATTTGTTAGATTCCGATGAAGAGAAGAGCGACGGCGATTGAAGAAAACGAGGGTTTTAGTGATAGAGAGAGAGGGAGGAGGAAGAAGAAGAACGAAGAAGGAAAAAAAAAAAAGGGAAGAAGAGAGCAGAAAACGAGGGAAGGAGGGAATTTTATGTTGGGATAGATGTGGAGGGAAGCCTTCAGCAATTAATAATTATTAATAAAAATATATAAAATTCTTTTTTTTGTCTTTCTATTTGTGCCCTTGAATTTTGTATTTAGTTTTAGATTGACCCTACTTACTTTACGTGAATTGCTTTTTGTTCCTTTTAGTAACGGGAATATTGAGATTTTTTTGGGTGTTGTCTTTTATAAGGGTGAAGAAGCAGATAGAGAGATACAGATAATTTGATCTAGAAACTTTGTATTTTGAATCTGTGAATTGTGATTTATATATTTGTTTAAAGGTGTAGTCGGTAAACAGATATCTGCAAATATAGATTGGGATAAATATTTTTGTTTATATAGTACATGTGCTGCTGTTTCCGTTATGATATTAATAATTATATAAACAACCCACCAGTTTTTGAAATTTATTTTTATCCTTTTGTACTGATTTGTGGTTGTTGTGTATGGATGGCAGTGCGAACTGATAAAGAAAAAAAAAGAAGATGAGTGTAGTAGATAGGTCAGTGTTGGGTATTATTGGCGATATAAACGGTAAAAATGTTTTGACGAGAAGAAAAAAAATGGGAAGTGATACAAAATCATATATATAAAAGTAAGGTTTCACTCTCTCCTTATTGGTGGAATAATATTTAATGCTTTAATTTTTTTTTTAAAATAAAATAAATAAATGTTTATGACAATCATTCAATGCAAAATTTAATCACATTATAAGTTATAATCAAATGGCAAAGAAAAATGAAAGGAATTAATCATATATCATTCAACAAAATAAATAAATAAATAAATGTTTATGACAATCATTCAATACAAAATTTAATTACACTATAAGTTATAATCAAATGGCAAAGAAAATGAAAGGACTTAATCATATATCATTCAACAAATTTTATAAGGCTTATTGGTGGAAAATTATTTAAAATCATATATATAAAAGTAAGGTTCCACTCTCTTTATTGTTCCATTTTGTATTTATTTTTTAAAATATAATATTTATTTTAACCAAAAAAACACATTTAATCATATACATTAATTCATACTTTAAATTCACACTTTACTACTAAAATGAAACTGAAAATTATATAAATTTCCAAAGACTATTGGTTTTCTTTATTGAATTCCAATTAAACGCACTATAAATTATAATTATAACTCCTCTAATTTAATTATTTTAAAAATGTAACTTACATTACTTCTTATCATATAAATAGCCATTCTCACATCCTTCTCTACCATATCTCATATCTTCATTATTCTCTTTGTTTTTTTTTTAAGTTCTTGCATGGAGTGAAAACTCATTTAAAATATCATTGTAAGAGTTTGATTAATTATTTAGTTTAAACTTTTGTTTTCAATTTTATTGATTTTTTGTTTTAATGTATTTCCTTATGTCTTCATTGTTTTTTATATTTTTAAATGTAACATATGTATAATAATGTTTAAGGTTATAAGAAAATCAAGCTAAAGAAACCATCTTCATTCTTTTACTTTGGATGTTTGTTTCTTTCTCACATATTCATGTATATTTAATTTATTTTCAAAAGTATGTAATTTTTTAACAAAATAAACTTTTTGTTATATAATTATCAAACCAATTTGTAAGACATTCTTTTAAGAATAATGATTCTTATATTTAGTTTGTGATTCAACATGTAATAATACAAAGAACATTATAATTTGTCTTAACTTTGAATTTTATATTTGATTTCCTATCTAAAAAACAATTTGATATTCCATTTTCTATCTATTATATACTACAAGGATGAAAAATATAATTAAACCTAGAAATATAACTTAAATTAAGAGGAATATAAAAAGAGATTAAAAATAAATTTATTTCTTGGGAATTTTTAAGGTTTCACTCTCTCCTTATTGGTCCATTTAGCATTTATTTTTTAATTA